TTCTAGAAACACACTACTTACCTAAACTAACATGGACTGAGGAGGAAAAGTTGAACAGACCCTTAACAAAAGAAGAAATTGAACAGGTCATAAAAAAATTACGAACAGAAAGAAAGTCCTGGCCCAGATGGATTCACCAGAGAATTCTACCAAACATTCAGAGAAGTGACATTATTCCTACTCAAACTATCCCAAGACATAGAAAAGGATGGAATCCTCCCTAACTCATTTTATGAAGCAAGCAAAACCTTGATACCAAAACCAGGCAAAGATACCACTCTATCCAGGATCTCCTACATAGATGCCCCTCCAAGTGGTTGACAGTGGTAGCAGGTCACCATCTAGTTCTTCTGGGCTCATAGTTGTATAGGCTGAAGATCATATGGTCACTTGGACTAATTGTTTCCATGCATCTTTGATTTTCTTTGTTCTTTTCTGCTCTGGATGAGGAGAGAACCATCGTTGCATCTAGATGGCCGCTTGCAAGCTTTTAAGATCCCAGTTGCTACTGTAGGATGTGTAACAATGTTATGCCAATTGAGCTTGATGTCCCCTGCGACCATGGTCCCAAGCCCACAGGTCCAACTACTTGCTCCCTTTGGGTAGCTGGCTGTGGCCAAGAAATGACTACAACCTTGTCCCTTGTCAGCTGCCCATCAGCTCTACTATATACCTGGAAATTCTTACAGAACATACAAATACACTTGTAGAAACACTGCCAATGCTATACACGGTCACAGGCACACTCCCACCTGCACAGATGTATCTAATAATTCAACTTGTCCACCCATCTATACACCCATATTATCAAAGTTTGCCATCACTGACAATGCAGTACTGTACATGCAAAAGGGTTCATCTTTGTTGTCTGTACCTCCCATGCACTCTCTATGTCTTCTTCTTCCTCAATGCCACCATGTTGATCACTCACGTTTGGTACACTGCCCTTCCCTTCACCCAAATCAATACTTATCTCTACCTATCTAACAGTGTTCCCTCCCCTCCCCACCCACCCCTGGTAACCAACAAAGAAAATTTCCTTCCATATATAAACATTTCCTT